AAAGAAATGCTATATAACAAAAGCTATAAAAAATTTTCTATCAAGTTTTAAAGCGTATACTTATAAGTCAAAAGTGTTATGTCTAATTAAATCTAGCAAATAACATTTATATTTCCACAGCTGCAGTCGAAAGAAAGGAAAAAACTCATTTTTTTACAACATTTTTCGGTTAATTCACGTGAAGAACTCTGCACTTTTTCAACGAAACTCGATTGTAGTAAACCTGACATCCATTCTGTCTTGTTTATAATAGCAAATTTTTACTTCCACAAAAAAAATCAATATATTTACAAAGAAATTTTCGCTACATTCTGAATTAAACCATAGTTCAAAACTATCAGATAAATAATGAAATACTATATGACAAAAGCTATTAAACTTTCACTTTCAAGTTTTAAAGCGTATACTAACAAATAAAAGGAGGTATGTCCAATAAAATCTAGCGAATATACTTTATTTTTCCACAACTGTATACGAAGAAAAGGGAATATATCATTTTTATACAACTTTTTTTTCGTTACTTAACGTGAAGAATTTAATTCTATTTCAACGAAACTCGATTGTAGTAAACCTAACATTTATTTTGTTTTGTTTCTAGTAGCACATTTTACCGTCACTAACAATTTTTAAATATATTTATAAAGAAATTTTCAATATTTCCTGAATTAAACCTTAGTTCAAAACTATCAGATACATAAAGAGTTGCCATATAAAAAAAGCTATAAAACTTTTACTTTCAAGTTTTAAAGTGTATACTTACAAATAAAAAGAGTTATGTCCAATAAAATCTAGCAAATATACTTTACTCTTCTACAACTGTAGTCGAAGAAAGAGGAAAAATCATCTTATTCCTACTATGTTTGCTTACTTTACGTGCACAATGAAATTTTTTTTTGACAAAATTCGATTGTAGTCAACCAAACATCTATTTTGTTAAGTTTTTATTAGCACATTTTTACCTTCGCAAAAAAATTCAATATATTAAAAAAAAAATTTTTCCTACTTTCTGAATAAAACCGTAGTTTAAAACTTTCAGATACATAAAGAAATGCTATATATCAAAAGCTGTAAGAAGTTGTCTTTCAAATTTTAAAGCGCATACTAACAAATAAAAAGTGTTACGTTCAATAAAATCCAGCAAATAAAATTTATATTTGAACAACTGCAGTGCAAAAAAAACAAAAAAAACATTTTATTACAACATTTTTTGGTTGCCTAACGTGAAGAATTTAATTCTTTTTCTACGAAACTCGACTGTAGTAAACTTGACATTAATTTTGTTTTGTTTCTAGTAGCCCATTTTTACCGCTGCTAAGAATGTTGAAATATATTTAGAAAAAAATTGTCGCTAGTTTCTAAATTAAATCGTAGTTAAAAACTGTCAGATATCTAAAGAAATGCTATAAAGGAAAAGCTATAAAACATTTTCTTTCAAGTTTTAAAGCGTATACTAATAAGTAAAAATTCTTATTTCCAATAATTGTAAAACTTTTTTATTTATTTATTATAGGTGATAAAATAATGATTAAAACATTAACGCTTAACTGTGCTGTTAACCGATTTTGGTATAATTATTTTATTGAATAGAATGGTAAATAATCTATAACCTCTAATTTACCGTTGCTTAACCTAAAGAACTATCACGGAATGCCCGAATAGGAAATGCATCCTCCGGTCTCTACTGACGCCTATTTATACCCTTTCTCCCTCTTCTTCGTCTTACATCACTTTCTGTCCATTCCTTCTAGAAACTTCTCGATGATTCTTTACTTCCTATCATTCCTTCCAGATACTTTTTAATGATTCTTTACTTCCTATCATTCCTTCCAGGAACTTCCGTACTTTCCGGAACAAGAACGTTCGAGAAATTTCTATTGGGCTACCCAAAGACGACAAGGCCCCGACAGTGGAAACTTACTAACTAAACATACATTTCTATAAGGAACGTTTTTTTTCTTCTTCGTTCAAATATCATAATCTCACACTCATTTATACCATTCACACACGCACTTTTTTATAAAAAAACTTAACACTATGGTGTTCGTTCTAGGATATTTTGAATCCTCACACTCGGCTATTCTGACAGAATAAATCTGTCTTCAGATTTGTAATTGATTTTCGTCGTCTATGCTCAGAATATCTCTGTCCCCTTGATTCCACGGTTTCATCAAATTGGCCGCTGTAGACGTTGTGTACGGGCCCTCGTGTTCCCCCACTTTCTGTACTAGATAACGATCGTTTCTAAGTACGTTTTTCACCTCGTACGGTCTTAAATACTTCGGGTGCAGTTCCAAACCCGGTCCAACTTGCGTTCGTCGTATCGCAACTAGGTCACCCTTAAAGTATCGTGTTGCCACAGTTCTCTTTTTGGTAAAAGACCTTCGGTTATCTGCCTGTGCTTTTAGGATAGCCTTCTTCGCATATCTCCGACACTCCTCTCGGTCTGCCTCGAACATCTGTCTCCATTCGTCCTCTATCATCTCTCGTAAAGCCGGATTTTCTTTGATCCTTATATCCTTTCCTAACAGTAACTTAAACGGTGTTGTCTTGATGCTTTTGCTAGGCGTGGCATTCAAGTATCGTTGGGCCAACTCAAGGTAGCGATACCAGTCCCCAGGTTTCAGTAAGGCCATCTTCGTCAATAGAGGTATAAGCGTACGGTTAACTTTTCTACCTGCCCGTTACTTCTTGGCATTCCGGTGGTGATCTTAATGTGCTCAATACTTTCCTCCTCGCAATACTTTGGGAAGTCGTTCAAGGTAAACGCGGTTCCCCTGTCGGAGATGATTCTCCGCGGATTTCCGAACACATACGCCTGCTTCTGCAGATGACGCAACACCTCGGCCGTGTTCGTGGACCTAGTCGGATACAACCACACAAACTTCGAGAATCCGTCCACTACCAAAAAGATGTACTTGTAATTCTTTTTAGTGGAGGGGATCCAGGTAGTCAATGTGAAAAGTGGGGAGAGGAACCTCTCCCTTGTTTATCGGACGCAGTTACCCCTCTAATTTCCCGCCCTTCCACTCGGCCAAAATGCACTTCACACAGTTCCGCACTATCCCCTCTGCAACACTACCCATTTCTTCAAACCAGTAGTCTTTCCTCACTAACATCACTGTCTTATCTACCGCGAAATGTCCTTGCTCATGCGCTCGGCGAACGATTTGTGCCTACAATGCCCTAGGCACTACCTCCAACATGTCACCCTTTACATTTCTATACAAAATCTTATTCCTTATTGTATAATCACTAACCCTATATTTCTTATCACCACTAATTATACCGCGTAGGTCTTCGTCCACCGATTGCGCACGCTTTAATCTAGCTATGAGCTGGCTTTCGTCCTCGCGAATAAACATGACCGTCGGTAAAGGATAAAGTCTTAACGCATCTGCGTGCACCATTTGCCTGCTTGTCCGATGTTCAATTGTATAGCGGAATTCTTTGAGAAACAGAGCCCATCTTGCCACGCGCACGCAAAAATCCCTTTTTCTCATAGTGGGCGTGAACGCGCGACAATCCGTCACTGTCTTAAAGCTAATCCCTAACAGATACACTCTAAATTTTCGCAGCGACTTGATGATTGCGAGCACCTCCAGCTTATAGCTGGGATACTTTTCTTTGGCTGGCGTGGTCTTCCCACTTGCGTTATATATAGGAGGGAACATATCGTTGGTGTTATCACGCTGCATCAAAATTGCCCCGTATCCTTTACCCGACGCATCCGTATGGAGTTCGGTTTCGGCGTTCCCTCTGTATAGACGCAATACTGGCTTACAGCACAATATCTCCTTAAGCTTCTGAAAGTATTCCTCCTCCTCGTACCCAAATTTAAATTTTACCTCTTTTCTTAATAGATCGGACAACGGTCTCGCAATACCCGAATATTGTGGCACAAACTTGCGAATATACCCCGTCAAACCTAGAAAACTTTGTATACCCCTGCGGTAAAGGCCTGGAAAATCTCACGACCGCCGCTGTTTTAGCGATCGACAACTGTACCTGACCGTCCTCGGTTATGTGTCCAAAATACTCCACGCGTTTCTGCAAGAACTCACAATTCTTCCAGTTAATTACTAACCCGAATTCCCCCTTCGTTTTTAATACTAACGCTAGTTTATCCATCCCATCCTCAATACTGTCGGAAGGTATAATTATGTCATCTAGGTAGAATAATATTTTTTTTAAAACTATTAGCTTTTTAAATACCAAGTCAATGTATTTTTGAAACACGGCAAGCGAATTATACAATCCAAACGGGACCTTTAGAAATTCGTAATGACCGTTAGGCACCACGAATGCCGTGTACTTTGGACTATCCCTATTTACCGACACATGGAAACACCCGTTCTTTAAGTCGATAGTAGTGAATACGCACGCGCCCTGTAACGCGTCTAGTTGATCCTCGATTAGTGGTAACGGATATCGATCCATTACAATCTTATCGTTTAGTTTTCGATAGTCAACGAACAACCTTCCTGACCCGTCCTTCTCCCTAACTAATACCACCGGACTAGCGTGATCGGAAAACGACGGCTGTATGATACCGTCCGCCAACCACTTGTCTATTTCGGCATCCACCTCATCCTTTTCTTTCAGCGATAACCTTCTCGGACGCGCGTACACTAGTTCTTCATCTTTTAAGAATATATTCATTCCTAGATCTGTCTGACGAACTTTTTCCGTTCGATAATTCGTTATTAACGCCTCTATTCCTTACTATGACTCGCGTCTGTAATATAGGACAGATCCATTTTATTCCGCTCGTTAATTATATCGATTTTAAAAATCTCGTGTACCACGTCGTCCGTCATTAGACTTTCCTCTATGTCACGAATGCAAACATTGCCCGCGCCTATTACTACTTTTAAATAATTCAAAAAGTCATTTCCGATGAGCAAGCCATCTTTTATAAGAGTGCCCGAAATCACATGTAACTTGATCGGATACCCTTTACCATCAATGGTGACCATTGTATCCATCTCGGTATACGTCTTATTTAAACCGGAACCCACGCCCCGGAATTGCAAACTCTTCTTACCTACTTCAGGTGCACCGATTTCCAAATATTTTTCCATTGTAATAAAGCTTAAACTACAGCCTGTATCGATAAGCGCCACAATCTTAATGTCTCCTATTTGAACCTCTTTGATGCACTCTTCACCCACCCCCGCTTCTACACTGCACGCTTCCTTCGGATTAACCTGCTGCTTTATGTTCTTTTTGCAATCCTTTGAGATGTGGCCGAACTCGTTACACTTAAAGCACTTCACGCCTTTGGCCTTCGATGGGCACTTCCACTGCCGATGGCCCGACTCTCCAAATTTGTAGCAGCGTTCGTCACTGGGCTTTGTAGCTGATCCGGGTGGTCGTTTATTCGTTCCCCTGCTATCGTGCACCTTCATCGTTCTTGTCTTCCTCTGCAATTCCCCTTTCATCGCCTCGTATAATTTGAATTTCTTTTTTAGCTCGCTGATCGTCGTTGCTCCGTATAAAATAGCTTTATTGGATGGCTCATCTCGCACACCATTCACAATATATTGTATCGTACTCATCTTATCTACTATTGCCTGAGCAGCGATTTCACACATCGTGTATACATACTCTTGATAAGATTCTCCAGTTTCCTTCAATCGTTTTCCAAGTAATTCGTGGACCTCGTACGCACTTATTACTTCCCAAAATTCATTCAATAGCGCTTTCTTAAGCTTCTTCCACGTCTTACAACCCTTTTTATATCGCACAATTGATCTTGCTGATCCTCGTAATAGCCGTTTACAATAAATTATTTTCCGTGAACTATCATACTGGCATAATTCTGCCATCTCCTCGAATTCTCTTATCCAACATTTCACATTAGTCGTACCTACGCTGCTAAATATTTGAAGCGATTTTTCTACATCTTTAAACGTTAGCACCTGCATAGCCTTCGTAAGGGTTTCATCATCATCATCATCTTCATCATCATCATCATCATCATCATCATCATCGTCATCGTCATCATCGTCATCGTCATCGTCGTCGTCATTCCGCAGCTTCTTCTTCCTAGCTTTCTTCAGGCGTTCCGCAAGTTTCTTTATCTTACCCTTCGTGCTTAAGCCCATCCCCTTCAATTTGGCCCTCAAGTCCAGATACCTTATATCACTTATATCTGGTTCTGCCGCAACAATCGTCGTATTAGCCAGACTTTTTTGAGAATCCTTTTCTGACTCCATAATTAACTTTAAACACTTTCGCCGTCCTAGACTTATAGATGTTCACCAGCTCGTTATTTTGATTCTATCCCGAACAAGCCCCCAAATGTAAGATTTTATTATTTATTTATTATAGGTAATAAAATAATGAATAAAACATTAACGCTCAACTGTGATGTTAACCGATTTTTGTATAATTATTTTATTAGATAGAATGGTGAATAATCTATAATCTATAGTCTAACGTTGCTTAACCTATAGAACTATCACGGAATGCCCGAATATGGAATGCATCCTCCGGTCCCTACGGACGCCTATTTATACGCTTTCCCCCTCCTCTTAGTCTTACATCACTTCCGTTCAATTCCTTCTAGAAACTTCTCGATGATTCTTTACTTCCTATCATTCCTTCCAGAAATTTCTCAATGATTCTATACTTTCTATCAATCCTTCCAGAAACTTCTGTATTTTCCGGAACGAGAACGTTCGGGAGATTTCTATTGGGCTATCCAAAGACGACAAGGCCCGGACAGTGTAAACTTACTAACTAAACATACATTTCTATATGGAACGTTTTCTTTCTTCTTCGTTAAAATATCATAATCCCACACACATACCAATCATTCACACACGCACTTTTTTATAAAAAAACTCAACACTATAGTGTTCCTTCTAGGATATTCTGAATCTTTAAATAAATATTAGCTGATATCATTTACTTTTCCACAACTGTAGACTAAGAAAAGAAAAAAAATCATTTTATTACAACTATTTAAGGTCACTTTAGGTGTAGAATTCAATTATTTTTTGACAAAATTCGATTGTAGTCAACCTGACATCTATTCTGTCTTGTTACAAATAGCACATTTTACAGTCACTATAAATTTTTCCATATATTTAAGAAAAATTTTAGCTGCTTTATAAATTAAATAATAGTTGAAAGCTAACAGATACAATCATTTTTCAACGAAACTCGATTGTAGTAAACCTGAAATCCATTCTGTCTTGTTTCTAATAGCACATTTTTACCTTAACAAAAAAGATTTAATATACTAAAGAAGAAATTTTTGCTACTCTCTGAATTAAACCGTAGTTCAAAACTATTAGATACATAAAGAAATGCTATATAACAAAAGCTATAAAACATTATCTTTCAAGTTTTAAAGCGTATTGTAACAAATAAAAAGTGTTGCGTTCAATAGAATCCAGCAAATAATATTTATATTTCAACAACTGCAGTCCAAAGAAAGGAAAAAAATTATATTATTACAACATTTTTTGGTTACTTAACGTGAATAACTCTATTCTTTTTCAACAAAACTCGATTGTAGTAAACTTGACATCCATTCTGTCTTGATTCTAATAGCACATTTTTACCTTGACAAAAAAAATTTAATATATTACAAAAGAAATTTTTGCTACTTTCAGAAGTAAAATGTAGTTCAACACTAGAAGATACATAAAGAAATGCTATATAAAAAAAGCTTTAAAACGTTTACTTTCAAGTTTTTAAGAGCATAATAACAAATAAAAAGTGTTACGTTTAATAAACTTGAGCAAATAACATTTATATTTCAAAAACTGCAGTCTAAAAAAAGGGAAATAATCATTCTATTACAACATTTTTTGGTTACTTAACGTAAAGAATTCAATTTTGTTTCGACGAAACTCGATTGTAGTAAACTTGACATTTATTCTGTTTTGTTTCTAGTAGCAAATTTTACCGTCTTTTAAAATGTTTAAATATATTTAGAAAGAAACTTTCGCTAGTTTCCAAATTAAGTCGTAATTAAAAACTATAAAATTTCTATAAAAGTGCTATATAACAAAAGCTATAAAACTTTTACTTTCAAGATTTAAAGCGTATACTAACAAATAAAAAGTGTTACGTTTATTAATATCTAGCAAATAACATTTATATTTTAACAACTGCAGTCTAAAAAAAGAAAAAATATAATTTTATCACAACAATTTTTGGTTACTTAACGTGAAGATTTTAATTCTTTTTCAACGAAACTCGATTGTAGTAAACCTGACAT